AGAAATATTATATCAAAGAAGCCTTAGGACTATGGACATTTTGCAGAAAGTATGTTATTCACTGAACGTATTAAAATTAGTTTCGAAATCTTCTACAGGTCTTCTCTGTATAGACAATTTTTAAGGTCATCTTGAAGAGGTGTTGAAGGTATTTTCTGGACAGTAGATCTTTCGAAGATTTTCCTTGAAGATACGATTGAAAGTTTGCTGTATTTAGGAGAGCCTTAAAAACATTATTCTATATAGAGGACATTTAGAGGGTCATATGTTTTAGAGGAACTTTGTAAGGTCTTCCGTGCTTAGAGAATCTGCGTTGACATCCGATTTCTTGGTCTTCTCTGTAGACTTTTAAGGGGTTTTTATATATGCAGCGGACTTTTTGAATGTTTTGTCTATACAAAAGCCTTCTTAAAATGGAAATATTTTTTTCTTACTTTCCATATGAAATACCTATCGAAGGTTATCTCGGAAAAGAAGACTTTAGGGTGTTTTTTTTTCTATATGGATACCTGTTAGAAAATATTTTCTATATAGAACAATTAAGATTTTCTTCACTACAGAGAAAACCTTTCGAATATCTTTGCGAAATAGAAGACTTAAGAAGGTGTTCCGTCTATAGAAGACAATATTAAATATATGATTATTAAATATATGATTATTAATATTAATTTTCCTCCAGAAGTGCTTTCCGCCCCCAGAAGGTATTCTTCGTAAACTTTGGAAGATATTTTCTTTAGAGAAGTCCGTCAAAACTTTTTCTCTGTAGAGAAGGCCCTTAAAAGGTCTATTCCGTATGAAAGACCTCTAGAAGAACTCCCCCTATGACATCTGAAGTTCCTTTCTCCGCAGAAGACTACGAGAAGCGTACGGAAGACCTGGAGAATGTCTTCTTTGACCGAAAGTCCTCGATAAGGTCTTCGTACGGAAATCCTTGAGATGGTATTATTCACCAAGAAAAAAGTCTGTTCCGTATGGAAGGTCTATAGGTCCTAGTATAAAGGTCTATTCCGTATGAGAGACACTTCTTCGTACTGAAGACATCTGAAGTTCATTTCCACGTAGAAGACTTTGAGAAGCGGAAGACCTGGAGAAGCACTTCTTCGTACGGAAGACCTCGAGAAGGTTTTGTTTGTACGGCAGTTCTTGAGAAGGTCTTGTCCACACAGAAGTCGTCGAGAAGGCCTAGAATGGGTCTTCTCCGCTTAGAAGACCTTGAAAAGACCGCAAAGTTGACTTCGAAAAGGTCTTCTTCACCCAGAAGAAGCCTAGAAGTCCTCTACGCATAGAAATCCTCGAGAAGGTCATCTAAGTAATATTTTCACAAAAAAATAATGTCTTCTCTGCGTGGAAGACCAAGGGAAAGTCTTCTTTTAGAAGAATATGTCAAGAATGGCTTCTCCGCCTAAACGATCTGGAGTAGGTCTTATGTACCTAGAAGATCTCGAGAAAACCAAAAAGGTCTCCTCCATCTAGAAGACTTAGAAAAGATCATATGCACCTAGAAGACCCAGATCAGATATTCTACGTATAGAAAACCTCGAGAAGACCTAGAAAAGGTTTTCTCCTCCTAGAATAACTTGAGTAGTAGTCTTTTCCGCATAGAAGGTCTCGGGAAGGTTCCAGAAACATTAACCTCGAGAAGGTTATCCAACAAATATTTTCCAAAGGTATTTTCTACCTAGAATACGTCGAGAAGTCCTCCTACTCCTAGAAGACCTCGAGAAGTCCAAGAAAAAGTACTCTCTGCCTAGAAGACCTCGACAAGGTATTATCCGCCAAAAAGACGTCTAGAAGTTCCCTACGAATAGAAGTCCTCGAGAAGGTCATTCATGAAATATTCTTCACAAAAAGACATTGAGAATGCCATCCAAAATTTCCGTATAAAATACCTCGAGAAGGTTCCCTCAGCCCAGACCTAGAAAATTACTTCTCGACCTAGGAGATACGAGAAGGTTTTCTCCGCCCGGGATAAGTCTTCTACTTCTCAACGATTTTTTTTAGTTCAAAAGACTTTTAAAAAGTATTTCCTTTAAAACCTTGAATGGCCTTTAGGATGTATTTTTTTTGTTCTGAAGTATTTTAGGATATATTTTTGCCAGATATTCAATGCATGTATGAAATATTTAGAAGATTTTATGAAGATCTATTGAAGGTCATCTTCGTTCAGAAAATTTGTTCAAGCTCTTCATCGAAGAGAGTTCTTTTTCAAACGTTTTTCTCTACAGAAGTCATTTTGTAGCTCTTTTCCGGATGAAATTGAAGAGGAAAGTTTTCTCTGTATGGAAAATCTTAAAAAGTTGGACCTCTGCTTATATAACTTTTGAAAATTTTAAGCATAGACAGAAATCTTTCAAAGGTCATTTAAAGGACTTTATTGTGGAGAAGTTCTTTCATTTAGAACACAGTTTATCTGCATAAATCTGTGGAAGGAAAACCAGTAGGTGACTTTTTGTGTATGGTAAATTTAAAGCGGCCTTCTCTGTATAAAATTCTCTTATATATCTTTTTTAAGAGAGATTTTTTTGCATAAAATGTGCCTGCAATGTATTCTTAAAATAAAATAAATTGTGGGTGTAATGTGGGTATAAAATTCATCGAGAATATCTTCTATACATAAAAGGTGTTCTTTATGACTTTGTGCTCATATGTTGCACACAAAAGAACCTGTCCATCAGGATGACTAAAATCCTATGCTTTTTAATATTTTATTACCACCATCACATTATTTTACTCTATTTCACTCTAGTGCTTATCTATGTATATGTTCCTCTTCCCGGCAAATGGTTCACATTCACAACAAAATTGTCCAAAACTCTGGTGCATTGTTCAAGTTTAATGCAATTTTAATATGGGCTTCAATGACATTGTGACAGGCTGTCACAGATTATGATATTGGAATTTTGTTACACCAGAAAAGAATGGAAAAAGCGAAAAGAAAACAAGTTGACATTTTCCTGCAATAAAATGGTCAATGAAATTCAATTCAATTCAATTGAATTTAAGATTGTTGATTTATAATGTCATAATCAAAATGTCGATAATGGGGGGGAATAATAAATCACAGAATGTTGTTGGATGGAAAAAGGGAATTGGTAAGGTCTTTAAATAACATGGGATAGAGAGGGGGGGGGGGTATGTTGGAAGAAAAAGGGAATTATTAAGGTCTTCTTACAACATGAGAGACGGATGGTGATAGGGGGAGGGGTATCTTGGAAACGCTACAAAGCTCTAACAAATTGCCTTGTTGTATCGTGTCATGATGATATGCTGCCTTCCTGTGAGAACACAGCGGAAGGAAAGCAGTCACCATCATCAATGGCAATATTTATTATGCAAAATTTTCAATTATGCTTTAAAAACGGACAGCGATAACTTGGCATTACTTCCAGTGACATTTCTGTCAATGTGTTGTGACAGGAAAGACATGAAAAAAAAACAAGTTAAAAAACAGTAAGTTCGGCCGGGTCGAACTTTGAATACCCTCCACCATTTGGAATGAATTTTAAAATTTTCAAAAAATAAAATCCTTAAAAAATTCTGTTAAAATTGTTAAAATACCGAATATATCCGTTATATTGGGGTCTATACGCCGTGGACCTACATAGGCTTTGTTCGTCATAAGCCATTACTATATTCAAATTTGAAACTTGAAATAAACGTTGAATAATGTAGCTAAAATCATAAAAATACCGTATATAGGGAGGTACCGTTATATCGGAGCTAGACGAAGACCTGGACCTGCATAGACAATTTTCTGTCACAGGCTGTAGCATCCAATACGAAGTTCAAATACGATATCTCAAACAATTCGGTGACTATTGTACATAAAATCGTCAAAATACCGAATATAGGGAGGTACTGATATATGGGGTCTATACGAAGACCTGGACCTGCACAGACAATTTTCTGTCTTAGGGTGCAGTATCCATTTCGAACTTCAAATACCAAATTTGAAACAATTCCGGTGAATAATGTCGCTAAAATCATAAAAATACCGAATATTGGGAGGTACCGTTATATGAAGACGTGGACCTGCACAGACAATTTTCTGTCATAGGATGTAATATCCTTTTCGAACTTCAAATACCAAATTTGAAACATTTCCGGTGAATAATGTCGTTGAAGTCATCAAAATACCGAATATCGGGAGGTACCGTTTTATGGGGGCTATGTGAAAACGTTGACCTGCACAGACAATTTTCTGTCTTAGGCTGTAGTATTCATTTCGAACTTCAAATACAAAATTTGAAACAATTCCGGTGAATAATGTCGCTAAAATCATCAAAATATCGAATATCGGGAGGAACCGTTATATGGAGGCTATAAGAAGACGTGAACCTGCACACACAATTTTCTGTCGTAGGATGTAGTATCCATTACGAACTTCAAGTACCAAATTTGAAATAATTCCGGTGAATAATGTCGCTAAAATCATCAAAATACCGAATATCGGGAGGAACCGTTATATGGAGGCTATAAGAAGACGTGAACCTGCACACACAATTTTCTGTCGTAGGATGTAGTATCCATTACGAACTTCAAGTACCAAATTTGAAATAATTCCGGTGAATAATGTCGCTAAAATCATCAAAATACCGAATATAGGGAGGAACCGTTATATGGGGGCTATATGAAAACGTGGACCTACATGTCCCATTTATGAACTTAACCTTCCTACTAGAAAATAAATATGTGTGCAAAATTCTTCTATCTCAATTTGTTCGAAAGATAGCTTACAACAGAAATACGGACGGACAGACAGAAGGACATAGCTAAATCGACCTAGAATTTTACGCTGATCAAGAATATTTATAATTTGTTGAGTCTGGCACGAGTATTTCGAGGAGTTACAAACATAATGACAAATTTAATATACCCTCCATTGTATGATGGAGGGTATAAAAAACATGGTGTAGGAAACGCTTCCTTTTCCTTTTTCTGTTTTTTTTTTTTTTTTTTGGTGGAGATCCGGTCTCTTTTTAAATTGATGAAGAAACCATAAAAGCCGTTCAGTTGCAGGCACAACATTGAGGCGAATGGCCAGAAACAGGTCATAAACAAAGCCAAGAGAATTCTTTAAATAACCGTGAAACGTGACTTGTGACGAGGAGGACTCGTTTAAATTTATGATGTTGCAAACAATGCATAAATATTTTAATAACAAAATAAAACTGCTGATGCTGCTGTTTTTAATATTAATATTGACATTAAAATGGCAACATGGTGTTTATGGGACATCAGCGGCAACATATGCTGCTATCGATGGTGTTGAGTTGAATGCCAATGGCACAGGAGGGGGGGAACAGGAGGAGAAGCCAAGAAATGCCAATACAAAAAGATCCACCATATCTCAGATGACCACTGCTGCTACCGATGCTATCAAGAATGAAGAGAGAAATAATAATTCTTTGATTTATGACAATATTAATGAGAATCTTAATAATAAATTATTGCAAAATGTTGTTGTGGTCAAAGACATTCAACAGCAGCGGCAGCAGCGGCGAAATGAGCAAAGCACTCCCCAAGAAGAGCGGCAACAAAACCCCAAGAATTTATTATCACCAACCGAGAAGCTTGATGATATTGCTATGGTCAAGGATCAATTAAAAGAGAACAATAATAATGTCCATGGGGAGCCAAAAATCACCGTTGACTGCCAGGACAATATAAATGACATGGAATGCTATAGCAATGTGGAAAATGTCATGAATGAAAATGAAAACAAAAATGGCATAAATCAAAACACAAAAGCCAACGAATCGAAAACACAGTTTCAGGCAAAATTGATACGTCAATTTGCTTTGACGCACAAAAAAATGAGTCGCATCAATTTGTTTACATGTCAAGTGACAGGTAATCATAATAGAGATGGGAGTCCCAAGGAGTCATATAGGAATCTTATGGAACGTAAAAAAGAAACGGCGCAGTTATTGGATCAATTGTTTACAGGAGGGAAATCGCTTGATAAATTAGAATCAGATAATAGAGGTCTAATTTTGAAAATAATACAAATTGATCATTTGATACCGAAGAAGAGAACAGATTCAGGTCCCGCTAATCAAAGAGGCCGTTTTGAGAGAACAAATACACGAAATGTTGGAGGTCCCAATTCACGCAACTCGTTATCGAACACTAATTGGTTGGATCAAATTTTACGTCCTGAATATTATTCGCAACTTGTTGTCGTCGATCTGGCATGTGGTGAGGCAAGCCGTAAACTTTTGGAAATGGTAAGTGAAAATCCCGCACATATTGTAAATTTGTATCATTTACTCAAATTTTAAATTTCAAAATTATGTATTAATATCTTAGAATCGATTTAACCGATCGATTTCATAAGCACATCATAGATGTAATAAGAAACCTGGCAAACAATTTGGGATACCTAAGGGCTAAGAGAAGCCCATTCTATATAGTAGTTATCTTTAAACCTAGCATATCCCAGTATATTCAACTATATTAAAGCAGGAGTGGACATTAAATATATCGGTTCGTTCTTTCTGACACCTCCCCCACAAAAAATCAAGAATTGTGTAAAAAAAAAAATTCAAAAAGTTTCAGTCGGGTTTGTCGACAGATAGGGTTTACATCTGCTTTGCAGCTTGCGTTATGTATCTGACCTAAGTCTGATATAAATATTACAATGTCCCAGATTTGAACCATACCGACTACTTCCTTCACATTTTATGAGATAGGTGTGAGGTACTATATATAGCGGATCGAGATATTCCACTTCATCTAGCACTAATAAAAAATGGCATGTGGAAATTTTAAAGAAAAAACACTTATTTCCAGTCTTATGCTAATAAATGATAATCAAAGGTACCAGATAGAGTTGGTCGGATTCCAGAATGAGTTGTCTGGATATAATATTCAGATCAGATCTCTAGTTTTTAGGTATATCAAGTTTGAAAGCATCACTGACTTCTTTCGAAAGTTATGAGAGACATAAGTATTGAGAATTGCGACCAAATTTCACACATCCTAAAATTTTTACTAAATATAAAAATATTAGGATGTGTTAAATTTCATGAGAATCGGATGTTTATTAAATTTTTTGAGCGTCGGTTTTGCCAACCGATGTATACCCTCAGCCTTGAGTTATGATTGTTTACACTGTTGACCCTTTATGGGGGAGGATCCATTACGTATTTGACCTAAGTCAGATAAAAATATTACAACTACTATATTTTAACCCTATCGACTACTTGCTTCACATTTTATGAGATAGGGTTTATATACAGAGGGTGAGATGAAAAAACTGGAAGCAAGTTCAGACTGCTGTCATTTCTAAGCTACTCGTCCGAGATGTGTTAAAATTATTCCACTGATAGCCCATTATATCGTTTACAAGCGTACAAAAGCATTTTGGTGAGAATTTTCCAGAAAAAAAAAAATTATTCGTGATGGAATTCGAGCGCGATAGTGTGATTTCTTTATATTTGGCTGGAAAAGCACATGTGGCTATTGTTAGAGCACTCCAGCATTTAAATGAGAATAAATTTTTTGTAGCGTAGCCCGACGTCAAGGAAGTAGACGGAAGAAAACAGCAACATCAGCAGAAATGTTTCTAAAAGTAAAGAAGCGACTTGATCGAAACCGGCGTCGCAGTGGCCGAAAAACGGCTCGTGAGCTGAACTCGGGATAAAGCCATTGAAATTCCAATTAGTGCAAGAACTTACACCGCAACAGAAAGAAAATATATTTATAGCTAAAAAGTTGCTTGGCCTGGCCGAAAGTGGTGAACTGCCGAATTTGGTTTTCTTCGATGAGAAAACACTCGTTGTCCAGCAGTTTGTAAACAAACAAAATGAAGAGGTCAGCTGAAAATGTGCACCTTCGGTTGGCCACCAGAAATCAAGCGCCGGCCATGGTGATGGTGTGGACCGCCATAACAGCCGATGGCCGCTCTCCACTGGTATTAATCTACAATGGCAGCAGAATAAATGACTAATATTATCGCAGAGCTTGGACATTCCAACAGGACTTTGCACCATCGCACTCAGTACGCGCCACTCAAGAATGGTTACAAAGTGAGGTTCCTCGTTCATTTCCAGAGGGCAATGACCACCAAAATCTCCGGATACCAATCCATTGGACTATTGTGTCCGGAATATTTTGAAAAGCAAGGCTGGCACTAAAAAATATCAGAGTGTCGATCACCTCAAGCAAGCGCTTAGCCAGGAATGGGCCAAAATACCGCAGAGCAATATTTGGTCACCTTGTGATGGTTTCATTGGCCGTTTGAAGGCCATAATTCGTGCCAAAGGTGACCAATTCGAACAAATCTAAACTTATTCTAAAATTTTATGCTATTTCCAAAAAATTCTCACGAAAATGTTCACAAGGGTAGGGTTAGGCTTAGAAGGGCTAGGCTTATTGTTTTCAAAGATGTCCGCAATATATTTAGGGGTTGAAATGAACCAAAAACAGAAAAAATCTCCTGATCATGCAATTGAAGCCAATCGACACGCCTGAGAAGACAGTTAAGGACAGGGAGAAATTCTAGCATTTGGGACGACTATTGGATTATATTTAGCTGTAAAATGGACCACAACTACTAACAGCACGACAGAATGCGTAAATATTGGGCAAATGTCCCTGGTCAAAAAAGGGTAATATTTGGGCAGTGCTCCGTGACATAATTTAAAAAACGGATGTGGACATAAAGGGGCTTCTAAGATATTGTAGTGTTGTAGGGTATCACATGGTCGGTTCCGCACGACTATAGCCTTTGCTTAGTTGTTAAAACTTTGGAGAGGTTAAACAGTTTCCTGAAAGGACTCTCTGAGTTCAGATCGACAATATTTAGGAAAATATTCGTAAACGTTTGGCATTCAAATGTTACGGGATCATAACTCCCAATTGCGTGCCAATGTTGTCTGATATTTATTCAATCTATTTCCTATTTCTGTACACTAGTGTCTGTACGTATGAGTGTTTTCATATGTGTCATAATGCTCATACGTAGATTTTTATCGGAGTCCACGGAATTAGATAAGGAACTTGTTCGTTTGATGGGACTAGATTGCCACAACTCCTTTAAAGAATCCAATACCTAAAATGCAATATCTAAAATCCATCACAAAAAATATTTATAAAAATGTTAACGCATTTTACACCCTTCAAGTTGGAAAGGAGGGTACATTATAATTGTTATTCCGTTTGTAACACCTCTTAATATTCGTCATGGACCCCATAAAGTATATATATTTATGATCAGCATGAAATTCGAAGTCGATTTAGTCCATTTGCCCGTATGGCTGTTGAAATCAAAATTTGGCAGAGTAGTTTGCATTATATCTAGGATGTTTGGTATTGAATATGAGATATAGCGGTCCACTGTTTCGCATAGCCCCATATAACGGTACCTCCTGATATTTGGTATTTTGATAGTTTAAGCTACATATTTCCACCAATTTTTCTAAAAATTGGTATTTGTAGTTCGTGATGATTTCCAGCTCTAGAGAATTGTAGGTGTAGGTCCACGTTTTCGTATAGCCCCCATATAAAGGTACCTCCCGATATTCGGTAGTTTAATGAGTTTTGCACACTTTACCACGATTTTGTCTAAAAATTGGTATTCGTAGGTCATAATGGGTTCTAGCTCCAGTGGCGGAATATTGAATATCTGAATCCATATTTTCGGCCTGTCTAAACTCAATGTCTTTTTACTTGTTTTAATAAATTTCTCAAACGTTGTTAATGGTTCCTGGAAATTCATTAACAACTTTAAAACTTGTCAGAATCTTAATTGCAGTTACACTAATGAATGAATGAATCTGTTCCCGAGATGTCCATGCATTCAATGTCTTCCTGTCATTTCTGTTATGCCTTTAAATTCGCAAATAGTTATCAAAAGCGTACTAATGATGTTTGTATCCGATAATGCAATGCTTTAACGCTTTCCTTCCATTTTTTTTCTTCCCTTCTTTTTCTGTTTGTTTTACTCTATTACGTGTCTGGATGGATCAATGCAACGACATTATATTTGTATGATGCTGTTCTCGATGTCGCCCAATACCATCTATCCATCCATCCATCCGTCCAACCGTTCGATGGACGATGACTATCATTGGTTTGGAAATGGTCTGGATTGGTCTGGCTTGGTCTGAACTGGACTGGGTTGGGTTGGAATGTTTACAACATTATCATCAGGCCTCCAATAAAGCTCTTTTTAACTCCTTGTATCACTGGCTGTTGATGGAGGATTATACATTTAATGGACAAACTGGAATCAATGATGCGGATGATGATATGAAAAACAAGATGAACAGTGACAGCAAGACGGAAACGGGTACGGCAACGGGAACGAGGGCAAGAAACACAAACGACGATGATGATGTTGCTGCTGCTGCTGGAGATATGGAGAATATTGAAAATTTTCTGGAAAAACTCAACATCAATATAAATACCGAGTTAATATTGGCAAAGAGACGTGTGCGTAGCATTACGCTAACAACACCAGTTGCAGAGGCAAAAGCAACAACAACAACCACTATTGCTACTGAATCAACAACTACGGCAACTGTTCCTGTTGCTGTAGCTGATTCTGACACCACCTCGAAGAGTAAATCTCAATCTATTGTCATGCCGTCGGTGGTGGAAAATAATGATGCCACCCCCTCCTCCACCCCTGCGGCTGGTGTAGACTATGAAACACTTGAAAAGATGGATTACTACTACCTCCTCTACGATGTTTGGTAAGTTGTTGGCGTGTTGGTCTAGGCATATTCCTGTACACATCATTGTCTAGGGGTGGTGTGGAATAATCGATTGATTACCGGGAAAGAGAACAATGAAACGCTAGAACCAAACAGAACACAACACATACACACGTATTTTGCAATTGAGATTCTTGTTAACCAAAATGTTTACATAGTAAAAAGTTGAAAGGCATGTCGCTGTCTCAAGATATTGATGCTCCTTTTAGCTATTATCCAGAGTGTGGTGATGAAATAAAGATAAAGGGGGGTATATTTGTCTTCACCTGTTGTATTTATGTGAGTTGAGTGATCCACCATAATAATAAAGCAGGGTATAGTTATTGGGCCAAAAAGTTTGTAACATCTCGATACATAGCTTCTAGGCCTAAAATGTATACTCAATGTAGGGTGAGATGAAAAAACTGCAACCATCTTCAGACTGCTGTCATTTCTAGCCACTCGTCCGACAGCTGTTAAAATTATTCCAGTGACAGCTCATTCAATTGTTTACAAGCGTACAAAAGAATTTTAGTTAGAATTTTCCAGAAAATAAATTATTCGTGACGGAATTCAAGCGTGATAGTGGATTTCTTTATATTTGGCAGGAAGATCACAAGTGGCTATCGTTAGAGCACTCCACCATTTAAATGTGAATAAATCTTTTGTGTCTCGTACCATCGCTCGTTACCGTGATACTGGTAGCGTAGCCCGATGTCGACGTCAAGGAAGTGGACGGAGGAAACAGCAACATCAGCAGAAATGGTGCGAAAAATAAAGACGTGACTTGATCGAAACCGGAAACCCGAAAAATAACTCGAGAGCTGAACATATCGCAATATTCCATTCAGCGAATATTGAAAAATGAGCTCGGGGTAAATCCATTGAAATTTCAAAAAGTGCAAGAACTTACACGGCAACAGAAAAGACTCAAAAGAACTAAAAAGTTACTTCGCATGGCCGAATGATGTGAACTGCCCAATTTGGTGTTCTCCGATGAGAAAACTTTAGTTGTCCAGCAGTTTGTAAAGCAATAAACTGATCGTCAGCTAACTCAGGTCAGCTGATAATGTGCACCTTCGGTTGGTCAGCAGAACTCATGCGCCGGCCATGATGATGGTGTGGGCCGCCATAAGAGCCGATGGTTGCTCTCCGCTCGTATTAATCGACCGTGGCATCAGAATAAATGCCGAATATTCTAGAGGGTGTATTAAAGCCTTGGGCACGCAAACATTTTGGCCTCAAATCTTGGACATTCCAACAGGACTCAGCACCATCGCACTCGGCATCGCGGCACCCAAGAATGGTTACAAAATGAGGTTCCACGTTGCATTTGCAGCGCACAATGGCCACCAAAATCTCCGGATACCAATCCGTTGGACTATTGTGTCTGGAGTATTTTGGAAAGCAAGGTTGGCACTAAAAAATACCAAAGTGTCGATCACCTCAAGCAAGCGCTTCGCCGGAAGGGGCCAAAATACCGCAGGGCAACATTCGGGCAGCGTGTGATGGTTTCACTGGCCGTTTGAGGGCCAAACTCGTGTCAAAGGTGACCAATTCGAACAAATCTAAACTTATTGTAAAAGTTGATGCTATTTCCGACATTTTTTGCTTTCATTCAAAAAACGAAGAAAAAAATGTGAGAATTATGGCGTTGGACTTTGTTGCAGTTTTTTATCACACCCTGTATATTGCTGCTTTAGCCGAGGATGTCATTGAAGTGCCGTCGACATCGGCCAAACGACTTGCCACGCAAATTCTGTTTCAGTCGACGGTCTATACAGCGAATTTTGGTACAAGAAAGCATCATCAATGCTTTCGCACAAAGTCCATATAATGCATAAGCTCTTAGCTGTTGGCAGCCAATCGCGTCTAACGTAGACTCAAGCCATCCTTAATCACCACCAAGAAGAAGATGATTTTTCATTTCCATCTTAGCGGGTACGTAAATAAGCTAAATTAACGCTTCTCGGGCACTGAAAATCCGTGTGTAACCCACGAAGTTCCATTACACCCGCTCAAAGAACATTTTTGGAACTGTGAATGGTAAGCGCTACAAGGCAATGATCGCGGGTTCGTGGCAACAAGCCTCAGACTCTTTCAGTTCTTAAAGACACTACGCTTTAAGAGGACCTATAGCCGGAACTTTTGGCCAAAGTGATGCAAAATGCCATAAATAGGACTCAAATGACAATAAACTGTGGCCGCGACCATTTACATGACATCACGTTCCCGACTTGATGTAAAAAAAATAAAATAATTACAGCCAAAAAACATCGGAAGTTTACTTTTGCGCCACCTGTTGCAAACGGTTTTCTTATTCTTATAATACGGATTTTCGACAACCATACTATAAGTCACCTATTCATGTCAATAGCAAGCACATAATTGATTCATATTTTACCAACTTTTTAAAATCTTTCCTATTTCCAACTTAATTTTTATACCCTCCAGCATACATGGTATGGAGGGTATATTAAGTTCGTCATTCCGTTTGTAACTCATCGAAATAATAATTTTGGACCCAACAAAGAATATATATTCTTGATAAGCGTTAAATTCTAAGACGATTTAGCCCTGACCGTCCGTCCCTTCGTTCTGCCTTTTGTCTGCAGGCTGGTCAAGTTCGAAGATGGGCTATATCGGTTCATGATATCGTATAGCCCCCATATAACGTTACCCTCCGATATTCGATATTTTGATGATTTTAGCCACATTTTTCAACGGAATTATCTGAAATTCTGCACAAGGAGTTCTTTGTGGGTACTTTACCCTCTGAAAAAGATTGTATATATAGGTCCACGATATAGTATAGCCCCCATATAACGGTACTCCCTGATATTCGGTATTTTGATGATTTTAGCCACATTCTTCAACGGAATTATCTGAAATTCTGCACAAGAAGCTCTTTATGAGCACTTTACCTTCTGGAAGAGAATAGTCTATACAGGTCCGCGATATAGTATAGCCCACCTATAACGGTGCCCCCCGATATTCGGTATTTTGATGATTTTAGACACATTTTTCAACGGAATTGTCTAAAATTCCACATAAGGAGTTCTTTGTGAGTACTTTATCCACTTGAAGTGAATTGTCTATGTAGGTCTACGATATCGTATAGCCCCCATATAACGACACCCCCCCCCATGATATTCGGCATTTTCATGATTATAGCCACATTTTTCAGCGGAATTGTTTGAAATTCTGCATAAGGAGTTCTTTGTGAGTACTTTACCCCCAGAAACAGATTTGTCTATATAGGTCCACAATATCGTATATTCCCCATATATCGGGACCTTCCGATCTTCGGAATATTGTACATTTTAACAGAATTTTTAATGGATTTTATTTTCTTTTAAATTTCTTAATTTGTTCCAAATCGTGGAGGGTATTCAAAGTTCGGCCCGGCCGAACTTATTGCTTTTTACTTGTTCTTATTAAGAAAACTCTTACCAGAAATGTGTAAAATTTTCCGGAAATACTGATTAAGTTCAAATCCGAATTTAGAAATATTAACCACTTATTCTCACATTTATAGGAGTCCTGGACGTCAGTATGGTGGCAAATTAAATACTTCAGAAATTGGTGAATTTTCTGCCAGTCAAGGTTTGGAATTAGCCGATTGGTACAAAGGATCATCGTTCATAATGCGCAGATTAAATATGCACTTGGCTCGTATACGCTGCCTGGTTGTGGTAATTATGAAACCAACCAGATAAATCATGCTCATATTTAATAAAACCCCTCTTTTTTGTAGGTAACTCATAAAAACGGTTCAAATTCATTGCATGAATATTTAATCAGTCACATCGATACCCATTTGGATTCAATGAATCGCTTTAATTTCGCATTATTATCACATGTTCGAGATTTATTCAATTTCAGGTAAGTTTTGAGGTTTTTTCTTTGTTTGTTTTCTGTTTGTTTTGCTTTCTCTCCACCATAAAATCGACATTTCAATTGCATTATATCGAATCAGAATCGTATTGAATAATTCAATGTGTAGAAATTTTCATTCATGAATTCATTTATCTTGTTCAGCACACACACACATTCGCACATCGTTCATACATGCATGATGATGTCTGAAGTGGAAGAGTGCAACAACAAAAACCTCAATTTAAAAGTCATCAATTATAATTTTCACCTGAAATACTTTGTATTTTTTTTTTGTTGAATGTGTTCTCTCACCTATCCTTACCTTTCGTTATAAGCACCTTTTGTGTGGTGGAAAACACAAAAAAAAGAAAATTCTCAAAACCACAAATAGATTTTCCACCCGGCAAAACTATTACTTCCCCACTGTTTGCCTGCCAATGTTCGTCCTAGTGATTGCTGTTGCTTTTTTTCTTTTGGCAAAGATCTTCCAGACATTCAACCACCTACTTGCTTTAAGAGGATATTAAAAATGCAATGCTCCCCGGGTGAGACATCTCATCGATATTGCATTAAATGACCCTTGAATGTTGTGGCTGGCTTCTTCTGGTGGTCGGTTCCACCTTGGCTGCACATGCCTGTGTTCGTTATTCCAGTCGGGAGCTAAACAAATCATTTATTATGTTCAAGCAATATTGTTTTTGTTCTCGTTTTCTCTTTCTTTTGATATGCAGTTTCGTTTTGTCCAAAACCGCCACCTGGGGTTACCTGAAGAATGGCAAATTTGATGGCATGATTGGTGCATTGGTCCGAAAGCAAGCGGATATTGGTGGATCACCCATATTCTTTCGCATTGAACGTGCCAAAGTGATTGATTATACCACAAGAACTTGGGTGGCAAGGTAAGTTGAAATGCCGAGTGTTGAGGTTGTGTAGATTTTGAAAGAGAAATGCATTAAAAGAAAATCTTATGAGACTTAAAAGCTAAAAAATCACTAAGGAGAGGAGTAGAGGGTGAAACATATATATGGGGGCTATAGCTATATTGGACACACTTGATTTTAGACTAAATTAGGTAATCTCTGCCAAAATGCATCCTATTTGGGCTGATATTACACATTTGGCAAAAAATATATTTGAACTCGAATGAAGATATATAAGGGAGATACATCCAAATCTGAACCGATCTCGGTAAAATTTGGCAGAGGTAATTCTGAGCTGTATCTCACATTTGGTACCAAACATCAATTTTGTGGAGTGCGTATTACGAATGTGGATAAAACATATATATGGGAGCAATAGCTATATCTGAACCGATTTTCACCCCTTGCCTCTTGGATGAATTAGGTCAGATGTGCCAGAATTCACTCTATTTGGGCTGATATTGGGCATATAGAGCACAATATACTTCAAATCGGATAAAGATAAAGATATACATGGAAGCAGTATCCAAATCTGAACCGATCTTGATATAATTTGGCAGAGGTATTTCAAGGGTATATCTGGTTTCAAATATCACTGTTGCATATTATGAATGTCTGGGACTTAAACCCCAAATCGGATGAAACATATATATATATATATATACATATAAGAGCTATAGCTATTTCTGAACCGATTTTCACAAAATGTTAAGTACTTCTTTGGGGTTGGATTCGATAGAATTTGAACGAATATTATTACACATTACATGGCGCACAGTAAAATTGAAATCGGACCAAAATATGTAAAACTTCCATCTCATTAAGTTTATTGAAGATATAATGATTTTTTGAAGGTGGCGCCCAATGCATAGGGATGATTGGTGGTAGGCTTTTTGGCCTCAAGTTTTAGGTTTTTATTTTGTGAAGAAAATTGACAACACTTGAAACTTAAAAAGGACATATTTTAGGTGCTACTCCCATCTGCAAAAGACATATTGGTGATCAACCAGACGAAGTTGTTTAAAAAAGTAATTTGGGAGTATGACAGAAATATTGGGCTACAAAAGCTTTCTTGGTGTGTAGATTTTATGATTTGGAAACAAGAAGTATTCTCCCGGTTTTCGACATGTGTTGAGCAATCAGTTTTGCAGTCAAACGAGCTGAATGAATGACATTGAAGCAGTATGTAGATTTTATACCTCTAAGCACATCTTTCGTTGGGATGGTGACAGGGTTAGAGTCTGACTGAAAGGTGCGAGAAGTTCGGGGTTCTACCCGCGGAAGGCTTGTGTATTGATTTTCAAAACAAGATGCCACTATTGATTTGGCTGCAGAGGGTGAATATCATTTGATAACGGTTTTATATCCAAAGATCTTTCGACCAAATTCGTTTCAGGACATTTGGAGTCGATCTAGAGGTGTCCGAACGTCCGTCCGTATGTCTTGGTGGTTTGATCCAAATTTAGTGTATTATTGCCAAACTTAGAGGTGAAAGTACCAGAAGGAATGGTAGGATCTCTACCATCTTTATAACAGATTTTGTGTTGACAGTTATATTGAGATGTGCTAAGTCTGAATGGAATCGGATGTCAATTTCGTGTTTTATAAGCTTCATGGATATTCAAAATTTTGACCCTTTGTAGTGGAGGTACCAGAAGTACTGGACCGATATATCCCAACTCAGACCCCGACCTTGGGTTAATAAAAATACTGTGATGTGTGAAATTTGAACAGAATCGGATGCTTCATTCGGACTTGATGATCCTTTTGATTATTCAAAACGTTGACCCTTTGTGGGGGAAGTACCAGAAAGCATACTCCGATCTCTGCTACCTTCATAACAAATCTTATGTCGATGGAAATATTGAGATGTGCCAAGTTTAAATGGAATCCGATGCCTATTTTGCGTTTTATGAGGTTCATGAATATTCAAAATTTTGATCTCTGTGGGGGAGCTACCAGAAAGAGTGAACCGATATATTCAATATTTTCGCCAGACCTAGGGTTATAAAAAATATTGTGATGTGTGTAGTTTGAGGACAATTGGACTCTTACATTCCATTTTATAAAAATTATAATTTTTCAAAATTTTGACCCCTTGTGGGGTAGGTCCTCGATGGAGTAGACCTATATTTTCCATTTTTTGCACATGACTTAGTACTGATGCAAATACTAGGATTTTGCAAAGTTTTACCAAAATTGGATTATGCTTTCTTTTTCTGGGCAGTAAAATATAAATCCCATCAAAATCTCTAAGATACTCAAAATAGGAATGTATCATTATTTGGGGCTGAAAAACCTGGACAGATATAGACTCGAGGAATGATAATTCGGAAGTAAAATATTTAAACGATTTGAAACTTCGCAGGGAACCTATTTTTTCCATGAGAATGCTGTGAATTATGGTATTATTTCGCGTTTGGAAATATGACTAACATTTACAAACTTACAATTATCAAAAATATTTGTGTTGCAAAGAATTGAACATTTGAAAATTATTTAATTTCTCTCTTGTCGACCAGTAATTTCATCCACTAAAATTTCCTGAAAATTGCTCTCCATAGTCTTCACTGAGTTTTTATCCGCAATTCATTCGTTTGCTTTCATGGATAAATACTACTTTATACAAAAGATGATAAAAATATGATACAAAAACAACCTCCGGATAAAAAAAAATAATTTTCGGAATAATATCTTTTCGGAATAATATATTCTCTACAAGATATTATTCCGATGGAATTCCTGGTCGACAAGAGAGAAATTAAATAATTTTCCAATTTTCAATTCTTTACAATACAAATATTTTTGAATTAATTTTTATGATTTAAATACAATTAATTTACAAAATAGGTGTTTTGGTATAGCCAAAAAAGTGTATCAATAAAATGAAATATTTTCATCTGCCCATATGATATCGGAGAATTTATTTCGTGTCCTTACTTGCAGACCTTGTTTCATATTTCGACATCCACGCAGCACTAAAAAGGATCGCATTGTATTTTTGCAACCCTTCTCGAATGATGTCTGGATATTGCTGGCTGGCTGTGGCGTGGCTACAATTCTACTCTTGTGGCTACTGACAACACTGGAAACTGATGGCAGACCAGTATCAGGTAATATATAACTAAGTTAATTTCTATTAAAGGTTGAAGATTTATGAAAATAAATCATTTTTACAAAAACAGCAGTCATACCTACCAAATCATTCCCCCATGGCAGTTTCAAAAAGCGTCTGGTTCGCTGGGGTGGTTTACTTTGTGGCTATGACATTAGAGATGATAATTCGGCCACACAACGTGTGGGAATGTTTTTGGAGTCGATTTTGTTTTATGTGGGTTCCATATGTCAGCAGGGTAAGATTTTGTGGGATTTACTTAAAAATAAATTAAATTTTAATTGTGTATCTTCGGAAAAGGTTTAACATTCTCAACTCGCTCATTTTCTGGTCGCTGTATTGTAACAACTTCGTTGCTATTTTCATTTGCCATTTATCAGTTCTATTCGGCCAGTATTGTGGGCACATTGCTAATGGAGAAACCCAAGACCATAAGGACTTTACGGGATCTGATACATTCATCTTTGGAAATTGGCATAGAGGATATTGTCTACAACAGGGATTATTTTTTGGTAAGAAAAAATAATATATTTTAAATAATATCTCAAATTTAAGATCTTCAAGATCTTTATTTTTGTTGTTATTTAATTGACGGAAGATGAAATATCGAAAATATAAAAATTAAATAAGTGAAACACAAAAAGAAAACAAGTAAGCAAAGGCTACAGTCGAGCGGGGCCGACCGTTGAATACCCTACAACACTATAATAAACGATACAGTTTATATAGGCGAGATACTCGAAAGAATTCCACAAGATATTGTGACAAATGATAAAAGAAAATCATCAGGTTTCGTTCTCTAATTTTCGGATAATAGCAACTTAAACTCATTTGCTCATTTCCAATTTATTGGTAGATGTTGCATGTAAGTGGTCTTCCTAGATCTAGAACCAATATTTCCCAAAGACCTATAATCTCTAAGAAGTGGCAAAAGATTAATATTTATTATTGTTTTTTGACTGAAACGCATCTATATGAGATACAGCCATTTTACTATATTCTTCAACGAAATCAGCTTTAACGAAATAGTCAGAAGTGCGTCTTTCCTGTATTTGTGAATTCTCCAAAAAGTCACTGGAATGGACATTTTCGTATTTTGTCTATAAAAGTTGGCAATCTATTTCACACATTGAATATTTTTGGATGGCCATCCAAAACTGCTTGGCTTTTGCAATGCCCAGTAACCCCTATAATTACGACCTGCTGCCAATTTTGCAGTTTTTTGGTCCATTTCAACCCCTAAATATATGGCGATCATCTCCAAAAAGAATAGGCCTTTATTCTGACCCTCATCTTATCTCCATGCAAAATTTCGTAAGGATCGGGCCATAAATGCGATCTATATATGATATCCTGATATCCTAACTACTCAGTTTTTTTTAGCTGTAGAAATATTACCAAATGTTTAATTCAAAATGAAAATATGCCAAAAATATGACAAAATGGAAAAAATATGAGAAAATTTTACAAAATCAATATTTTCATCTTTAGAGAGTTATTTTTATGCGATTTTTTAGATGTTTTATGTTTCCTGCCAAGAGGCCATTCTGAATTAATGAGAACTGTCGAAATCAGTTCAGCCGTTCTCGACATATAAGAGATTTTTCAAGCATATCTTCTTTGATAAACATATACATCGCACATATTTTGCTATATATCCGTTTTGTTGGATGTTAACATCAATGTAAAGATCAGAAGTAACCTTGTCATGGCTTTGTGATTTCGCCGGGATTTAAAATATTCGCGGTTTAATGAAAATTTTTGAATTTTTTCAACAAAAAAGATATGGTCTATTTTACCCGCTAAATATTATCCGATGACCACCCAAATGGGTAGGCTTCTGGCCAGCCCTAACCTCTACCTACATGCGAAATTCCGCGTCGATTGGTCAATAATTGCGACCTGTAGAGCAAGTGCAAAATCAGGAATTTTTTCAGTTTTTGGTCCATTTCAACCCCTAAATATTATGCGATTATCACCAAAAGAAATAGGGTTCTATTCTGACCCTAGCCCCACCTCCATTTTAAATTTCGTGAAGATCGGACCATAATTGCGACCTGTAGAGTGATTACAAATTAACATGGGCAGACGGACGGACGGACATACATAGCTAGATCGACTCAGCTCGGCGAGATAGGAAGATCCATATATACTTTCCTATGTGGGAAATCAATATTTCGTGGTGTTACATAATTTTTGGCCCAATCAAACTTATAATACCCCAACACATAGTGTTGTACGGTATAAAAAGACTTCGAAGTCAATTTTATTAAATTTACATTTGAAATAATTTAAAAATGAAGGTCGAATTTCAGATTTTTATAATTCTTTGATTTTTAGTTATTTAAAAATTAGAAAAAAAATATTTTAGATATTTTTACGAAAATTCTTAATTTAGCGTACCAAAGACCCCGATGCCCAGGAGTTGTATGCCAAAAAGGTAACCAGCATGCCGACAGCAGATGGTACAGGGTTTGTGGATGCCCCTCCCGATAATGTTGTTCTACCCACATCCATTATTCCCATGACTGAGGCCCAGAAGGCCAAGGCCTATCGTGATATTTTACATAGCCATGAGACGGGTGCCCATGCAAAGACCAATGAGGCCTCCAATTGGTATGAACCCGAGTATGGGGTGGCTAAAATCAAAAAAGGACGTGAGTATACTCAAACCATTTACAAATTCATAAGAAATTGAAAATCGAGTTTTAGATTTTGCCTTTCACGTTGATGTTGCCACGGCCTATAAAATCATGGCCGATACATTTACCGAAAAGGAAATTTGCGATTTAACGGAGATCCAGCTATTTCCACCCCAGAAAATGGTTAGCATTGTTCAGAAGGGTTCACCACTGCGTAAACCTATAACATATGGGCAAGTTTGTGTTATGATTAGAATTTATTGATCATTCGTTATAAATATTTTCAATTTCAGCTTAAGACGTGTCACCGAGGTTGGTCTTATGGATTATGAGCACAAAATTTGGCATTCCCCCAGACCACGTTGTGTCAAGCAATTGCACACGGATGATCTACGGGTAGGTATTTAAAAATTATACATAAATAGATATCTACAGGAAAAATCCAGCAGAAAGTAGAGACAAAATAGAAGACATGTGTATCAAAGTTCACATAGCAAAGTAACCAATACAAAGGGGGCAAGTTCTCCCCATAACCACATTTTTGGAATACGTCGGATTAAGATTTCTTAAAGTTCTTACAGTTTAGGTATGTAGTGTCTTCGGCAATATCATTATACGAGTGTTAATTTGGACAACCTTTTTCAAAATATGATTGAAAGCTGGACATTTGGTATTGAAAACAAGTTAAAAACAGCCAATGTCTGTTTTTATTCATTCATACTTTTGACTCTTTATGAGGGAGGTACCAAAAGGGTCGGCCAATATTGTCAATTTTGTATCTGACGTAAGTCTGATATAAATACAAGGTATCAAATCTGACCAATATCGATTACTACCTCTACTTTATAGCATGTTTCCATTGAAAACCGAACAACGTTGTTCGCTCTCAGAATTAGGTACACGAATTAACCCGTTCATACGGCACGATTCGTAATTCATAGTAAAATAATTAATTTTTTCAAAAATTTTGTTTGTTGATTTTAATTTTAATTTATACTAAAATACATTAAATTCTCAGTAATATGAGTAGAAGAAATGATTGTTTTTCTCCCAAAGTTTTATTATATCATTAATTTTATAATTTTCATTCACGTTTTCAACTTTTTGTGTAAATGTTGACATTTTTAACATATTTTTGTATTTTTCTGTTTTTTTAATTTTGCTGGAGAGACACTTGTCAAATATTTTTTCTGCCGATACAAACATTTTGAAAGTATTGCCTCTTTTGTTTCCAGTTTCCTGTGGAAATTTCAACTCGTGGACAAAATGCGTACCTCGGATGAGAGAGAAAACAAAATTTACTTTCGTTTGAATGTACATACGCTATTCAACATTGTAGTTTTCATTCATAATTTTCAGTCTTCCCAAAAATGATCAAAATTTCATTAAATTTTTCTATTTTCAATTTTTAAATGTCATAATTTATTTTTTCGATAAATGCTCTCATTTGTTAGTAATGGGACACATTTTTTCGTTGTTCTGAGAGTGATTTGATTTGAACAATGTACAAATATGAGTGTTCGCTCAGGAAATTTTGTGTGAAGAATTAAGTAGTTTTTTCATAGTTAAGGGTCAAACAACGAATAGAGAGCGAATCAAGTGCAGTGGAAACGCCACATTATATGAGATATGTGATAATTTTTGGAAAATGTTCAAATGACCTCAATGTACCAGATGCAGTGGACCAAATTATTCTACTTCACGTTATACTGATAAAAAATATTGGGATGTGCAAAATTTAAAGAATATCGAAAATGTATTTATAATTCTATAAGAATAATTGTTAGTTAAAAGTTTACTCAGAGTGGTTAAATGAAAGTTTGATCGCGCACTTGTTTCGCATGTTGTATAGGTTATAATTATTTGAAATGTTGACCCCTTGTTGGGGATGGGGGTTGAATGTACCAAAAGAAGTGAACCGATATATTCCATCTCCATACCAGATCTTGTATTAGTGGAAATATTAGAATGCGTGAAACCTAGAATTAATCGGATGCTAGTTTTGGATTTTTTTTCGTTTTGATTATTTACAATTTTGACCCTTTGTGGTGAGGTATTAGAAGAAGTGGGTCGATATCTACCATTTTCACAAAATATCCTGAGTTGATGGGAATATTTAAATGTGCCGATTTTGAAAGGAATCGGACGCTTATTTCCCCTTTTACGAGCCTCATGGTTATTCAAAATTTTGACCCATTCTGAGGAACGTACCAACGAATCGATATATCCAACCTTCCACCATATTTTGTGTCAATTAAAATGTTGCGATGTGTAAAATTTGAAGACAATCAGACTCTTATTTCAAATTTTATAAGAGTTATTATTATTATTATTTTGACCTTTTGTGGGGTAGGTACTTGAGTGGGCCGTTATTGTCCATTTTCGCACCTGACCAACCCCTGGTAAAATATTTGGATTTGTAAAGTTTGAACAAAATCGAATGATTCTTTTTCTTTTTATCACATAAATTTTTCTCTCTGAAAATTTTGGACCTGTTGTTGGAAAGTACCAGAAGCAGTGGTCCGATGTTGCCCATCTCCGAACTCGATCTAAATTTGACAATAATATCTTGATGCACCAAGTTTGGACATAATCAATTACTCCCTTCGAGAGTTATCGTGAGCACCAGCCAGACAGACCGACGGACAAACAGATGGACGGATATCCCTAGATCGACTCCAAATGTCCTGAAACGCACATTTGGTCTCCAAAGAGACCCAGGGTCTAAAACCGTTATTTTGATGAGGCACGTTTTGGCTATATCAAGTGATATATACCCTCTGTAGCCATTTGACACTGGGTATAATGAGCCATATAGGTTCACGTTTTGGAATAGTCGCCATACAACTGTACCGCCAGATTTAAGTTATTTTGGGCGTTTTAGTTACAATTTCGAACCAAATTTGCAGTAAATTGAGAGTTTGTAGGAAATCAGGATGTAGGAAACATCATTGCAGAGAACTTTATATATATGTCTAAGTTGTGGTATAGTACCCATATAACTGTACCTCCATATAATCGGAATTTTGATGGTTTGTGTCACACTTTTAAATTGAATTGTTTCAAATTTTGTGTTTGGAGTTCGTAATAGGTTCTGCTTCCTATGACAGAAAATTGCCTGTACAGGTTCTCATCTTCGTGTAGTCCCCATATAACGATCGATACCAACTGATATTCCGTATTTCGATGATTTGTGCCACATTTTCAACCGGAATGGTTTCAAATTTGATACTTGGAGATCGTTAAATTCCTTGTACAGGTGCACGTCTTCGTATATTATTTAAAAGCTGGTATTTGGTATTGACATTAGGTACTGTATTCTTCGATAGATAATTATCTTTATAGGTCATATTTTCGTATAGCTTCTATATTACACATACAGGGTTGCCCATATTCGACGGACCCATCTGGCAACGCCATAACTTTTGACAGAGATGTTACATCGCTTAATGACATACCGCGTTTGAAGCGTCAGTCCAAGCAGATTTTTACCATGAATCAATACACGCCTCGCGAGCACTCTGAAATAGTTGAAATTTACATTCAACAGAAGAAGACAATTGTGAAAACTCAATGTGGTTTTAAAAAATGTGAGAAGTGCGCCTTCTAAGGACACCACTAAGCGTTTATACGAAAAATTTTCGACTGGTAAGGCTCTTTCTAATCCGAAGAGGCCATATAAAAGTCGACCAAGGCGATCGGCCGAGAATATCGCTGCCGTACGAGCCAGTGTTGAGAGGTCCCCAAGAACATCCCAAAAACGCCGTTGGGCATGGTTCGGTCCACTTTACAACGGATTATTCGGATTGATTTGCATTTGTTCCCGTACGAAATTCAATTGACACAAAGAATGTTGCCTGCGGACAAACCTCGTCGATTGGAATGGGCCCAAAGGGCCCAAAGGTCCGTCGAATATGGGCAACCCTGTATTTTCCATAATCAAATTGAATAGCGGCTGGTCTATGTTCCCGACAGCCTCATGAATTCCACCTTTCAGTTCTTGGATTTACACAAAGTGTAAAATCACAAAAAGTTGTTAGGTTTTAAATCATAAGATCTCCGTGGCCAATTGATTACCATTTTGAGAGATAACATTGCAGATCAATATCGTCCAACTTTGACTTTGGTCCTGAGACAAAATAGGGACATTTTCCTTCGAAAATGATCAAGGAATGGCCGCTAAGTTATCAGATCATGTTGAACGATTTTTTTTGTTCACAAAAATCAAAGAATATTGGCAAAAACAGTTTCAACAGGATGGAGTAGTTCTTTCTATATATCATTTTCAAAAGAAAAAGTTATGTTTACTTATAAAACTTCCTACTTTTACCTTTTATTAAATTCTGAACTCTTCGTATTTTCCAATTTTAAGCTTGCTTGCCGACTTCTAGATGTGTATTGTGTTTACAATTTTTTTTATTGGCCTGACGTTTCTACGTTTTCGACATCTTTTACTTATTTAATAGTTCAAATAAAATAAAAAACAACTTTCGACCTATTTTAGGGTCGAAAGTTAAAATTGTGTTTTAACGTGATGCTTTGTTCAAGATATGAACTACCTTCATAATATTATTTATAAGTTATCATATTCCTGACAATCTAGACGATGTGCATATGGTGGTGATAACAAGCAAATATTTGCTAATTTCTTTGATAATATGTGTCTTCAGTGTGTTATCCATAAATATTTACAAACAAATCCGGCCATTAAATATCCCCCCCCCCCCAGGTTGATATGCAAACATTTACATCTGCTCTTTTGGTTCTGATGTTTGGTATCTTGGTCAGTGGCCTTATCTTATCCCTGGAGATTATGCATCATCGAATGTGGCAACAATATACAACTACAACAACAACATTAACAATGCCGATAACAACAACACTAACAAGAACAACAACCGAATAAAATGAGGTAAGAACATTTGCAAATAAATACCATTGTGAATATTTCAAATTTCATGTTTGTTCTTTATTTTAGGGATTTCCTCTGTTCTTTCCATTTCTTTTTTTTTCACATTTACTTTCCGTTGAAAGTTTAACAAAGCCGTCGTTGCTGTTTCGTTGGAAAAACCGGGCGATTTATATCCATTTCAAATATGTTAATCGTTTTTTGTTATTCCCTTTTTTGTAATATTTGCTAATGTTATTCTCTTTGTTTGGTCGGTCGGTCGGCTTATTTGTAAATTTGTTTGTTGTAGATGTTTTTTTTTTTTGTTTCCTCTTTGTTTTGTAATATTTTTATTCAATGCTAAGAATCACTCAATGTTTGTGGGCATTTGTTAAATATTTATGAAAAAAAAAAATGGAAAGGGCTCTCAATGGCTCTTAAACAAATAAACTCTCAATTATGGACAAATATAGCACTAAACATAAATCAGTGGCGTAGAGGGACAGCAATGGAGGGGCAAGACAAATATTTATGAAAATTTACCACATTCGAGAGAAATCGTTGAAATGTTCTCCATATACAGGGTGAGATAAAAAACTGTAACAAGGTCAAACGCCATAGTTTTTATTTACTTTCTTTAATTTTATTGAATGAAAGCTGCAAGTTCGGTACAAATTTAAAAATTTTCAAAAAAATAAAATCCGTTAAAAATTCTGTTAAAATCCTAAAAATACCAAATGTAGCCGTATGTTAAGGTCTATAAGACGACGTGGACCTGCATACGCAACTTTTGTCATAAGCCTACACAGACAATTTTCTGTCATAGGCTGTAGTATTCATTAAGAACTTCAAATGCGAATTGTGAAACAATTCCGCTAAAATCATCAAAATACCGAATATCGGGGGTACTGTTATATGGGGCCTACACGAAGACGTAGACCTACATGGCTTATTTTCAATACCAAAAGTCCTGCAGACATAATACACATTTGAGTAAAATTTTATCAACCTACTTCATTTCGTTCGGAAGGTAGAGTGATTTCCACAGACGGATAGACGGACAAACGGACGGACATTGATAAATAGATATAGAATTTTATGCTGATTAAGAATATAGACACTTTATGGGGTCTAAAATGTATATTTCGAGGTGTGACAAACGGAATGACAAACTTAATATACCCCCCATACTATAGTGGGCGGTATAAAAATGTCGGAAATAGCATGAAATTTTAGAATAAATATAAATTTGGTTCGAATTGGTCACCTTTGACACGAATTATGGCCATCAAACGGTCAATGAAACCCTTACACGTTGCCCGAATGTTGCTCTGCGGTAGTTTGGCCTATTCTCGGCGAATCGCTTGCTTGAGGTGATCGACACTTTGGTATTTTTAGTGCCAACCTTGCTTTCCAAAATACTCCAGACACAATGGTCCAACGGATTGGTATCCGGAGATTTTGGGTGCCATTGAGCGCTGGAAATAAAGTGAGGAACCTCATTTTGTAACCATTCTTGGGTGACGAGTGCTGAGTTCCTGTTGTTAATACGCCCTCCAGAATATTTTCGCCGTAATATTCGGCATTTATTCTGATGCCACGGTCGAGCGGAGTTTTCAACGTTTCTGCTAGCTACAACGTTCAAGGTCTGGTCTTGGATTTTGCTTGGGCTCTACAGAGCAAATTGTCCACCATCGCACTCACGGTAGTTGCATCCAAAGCTTTGCCTGATATGGCAGCCCACACCATCACCATGGACGGCGCTTGAGTTCTGGTGGCCAACCAAAGGTTCACATTTTCAGCTGACTTCTTTGGCAAGTAAGCACGATCATTTTGTTTGTTTACAATCTGCTGGACAACGAATGTTTTCTCATCGGAGATACCCAAATTCGGCAGTGCACCACATTCGGCCAAGCGAAGCAACTCTTTAGCTCTTTTGAGTCTATTTTCTTCCAGATACGGTGTAAATTCTTGCATTATTTGGAATTTCAAGGGCTTTACCCCGAGCTCATTTTTCAATATTTGTCAAATGGAATATTTCGATATGTTCAGCTTATGAGCCATTTTTCGGCCACTGCGACGCGGGATTCAATAAAATCGCTTCGTTATTTTTGAACCATTTCCGCCGATGTTGCTGTTTTCTTCCATCCAATTCCTTGACGTCGGGCTACACAACCAGTATCACGTTAACGAGCGATGGTACAAGACACAAAAGATTTATTTACATTTAAATGCTGGAGTGCTCTAACGATAGCCACTAGGAGGTTTCCAGCCCAATATAAAGAAATTACACTATTACGCTTGAAATGGATCACGAATAACTTTTTCTCTGGAAAATTCTCACCAAAATGCTTTTGTACGCCTGTAAAGAATATAATGAGCTGTCACTGGAATAATTTTAACAGCTATCGGATGAGTGGCTTAGAAATGAAATTTGAAGTTGGTTGCAGTTTTCTTTGTCTCATTGTATTGTGCTCTTATTTGTTTTCTTTCAGCTCTAAAAGATTGTAGCTACACCACTGGTCTATTCTCTTCAAAAAAAATCCTATGCCAAGTAGTTTCTTGCACAACAGAAAAAAAAAATATATATATATACTAATATCTGGAACGGTCGATCCATACTAATGCATTTGGAGTTTTAAATTTCCCCTTAGCATCATAAGGCCCAAAACAGAACGTGCCATGTGGCAGAGAGAATTATCCTATCCTATATTTGTATATGAATAATAAATAATGCACACACACACACAAAATAAAATATTATGAAATAAAATAAAACAAAAGCACAGAGAGCGAGCTTGAGAAGAACAAAAGAAACATTTCGTTGTGTGTTATGCTACTTCGGGGAAATATATGCAAAATATTGAATTTATGAAATTTTTTTATAAAACCATTGCAATAAAACCACTATTGTGTTTTTCTTTTACGTTCCGTGTCCTTTGATATATTCGTGTTTATGGTTGTTTTATCCCTCTCTCTTTCTCTTTTCATCGTTATTGGGTTGGAATAACTTACTTGGAATCGATTCGAATTCATTCTCTTCTTTTACTGTACTATTGTTGTTCTTTTGCATATTAAAAAAATAAGAAAAAATTATATAAGAACTAAGTAGCAGTGGTCGGCGGGATCAAAGGTTCAATTTTAAATATGCACAAGAGAAGTATTAATAACTTTAAGAGCGGTTGGAATAATTTTTTCCATTTCCATTTTTATACCCTCAGTCACAGGGTTCGAGGGTATCGAATAAACGGCTTCAGATTCTTGGTCCCTGTGGACCAAATCCGTTTCAGGACATTTGGAGTCAAGTTAGGGGTGTCCATCTGCGTTTCTGTATGTTTGTCTGTCCTAATAGTTGGTGAGCGCGATAAATCTCGAAGGGTGTATCCGAAACTTGGGACATGATAATATTATTGACGAACTTAAACGTGCAATATCGGTTCACTCCTTCTGGCACCCCCAAACAAAGAGGGGAAATTTTGAAGAAGAAAACCTTCATAAAACGTAATGAGTCTCTGTTTCGTTCTAAACTTTGCTTATCCCAATATTGTTTCTTCTGCAAGATTTGGTGATAAGCTGGTGGATATGGGTCCACCCCTTCCGGTACCTCCTCCACAAAGGGTCACAATTTTCAATACTTATTTTTCGCAATACTTATTTTTGCGAAACAAGACAGCGATACTTTTCAAACTTGGTAAATCTAAATATTTCTCTAAACCAGAATTCTGATGTGAATATGAAATTTATTGGCCCACTCCTTTTAGTACCACCCCCACAAAAGATTAAAATTTTGAATAAATTGGAAAGATTAGATTTTCTTTAAATTTGGCACATGCTAATGCTTTTAGCTGTCTAAGATAAAGTGGAATACTTCGGCTTTCTATATCTGGTACTTCACCCTCGTTTCAAAATTTTCCAAATATTTTCAAATATCTCATAAAATGAAGCAAGCAATCCATATATTCTAAATCTGGCACGTTGTTATATTTATATCAGATATGCAATTGACAACATTGCCCTACTCCTTCGGACGACCCATGTTGAATCTGCCCATTGGACGCACATGGACATCTTGTCGGAACGCAATACAGAAATCGGTGGAAAAATTCAAGTAGTTGGGACAAGTCCCGCATGTCTTTACTCAAAATGTTGTAAAGAGCAATTTTTTAGCTACTATATTTTTGGCAACACTGTAAATTCAGCACGAGCACGTTTTGTGCGTGCCAATCAACCGTCTTCATTTTTTCCATTAATTACAGGGACAATCCTGCAGAATATGAAATAAGAGATAAAAATAGACATGTGTATCGGCGTTTTCAAAGTTTTCATTGCAAAGTAATCAAATTAGAGGAGGGGAAATTCCCCCTTCTCAACACTTAGGGAAATTTTCGGATTTTGAATTTTTGTATTCCTATACATTTTAGGCATATAGTGTCGTTGCCAATATTGCAAATAAAAACAAGTGAAAATATTGTAAGTTCAGTCGGGCCGAACTTTGAATACTCTCCACGATTTGAAACGAATTTGGCAATATTAAAAAAATAAAATGCGTTAAAATTTCTGTTAAAATCTTATAAATATCAAATGTTGCCATCATATTAGGGTCTAAACGACGACATGGGCCTACATAGGCAATTTTTGTCATAAGCCATTAAAAAAATATTCAAATGCGAAACTTGAAAAAAACTTCGGTGAATAATGTAGCTAAAATCATCAATATAGGGAGGTACTATTATATGGGGGCTATACCAAAATGTGGGGCTGCACAGACAATTTTCCGTTCCGTGCAGTAGCCATTACGAACGTTAAATACCAAATTTCAAACAATTCCAATTAATAATGTCGCCAAAATCATCAAAATACCGAATATAGGAAGGTACCGTTATATGGGGGCTATACAAAGACGAGAATCTGCACAGACACTTTTCTGTGGTATTCATTACTAACTTTAAATACCAAATTTAAAACACTTCTCGTTAATAATGTCGCTAATATTATCAAAATACCGAATATCGGGAGGTACCGTTATGTGGGGCTATACGAAGACGGGGACCGCTAAAATCATCAAAATACCGAATATCTGGAGGTACCGTTATATTGGGGCTATATGAAAACGTGGACCTACACACACAATTGTCTGTTTTAGGCTGTAGTATCCATTACAAATTTGAAATACCCAATTTGAAACAATTCCGGTGAATAACGTCACTAAAACCATCAAATTACCGAGTATCGGGAGGTACCGTTATACGGGGGCTATATGAAGACGCGGACCTTCACCGACAATTTTCTGTCACATGCTGTAGTAGCCATTACGAATATTAAACACCAAGTTTGAAACAACATTTTATCACACACGATGTCTGTCTATCTGTCACGAACGAATTTAGATGTAAATTTGGCAGTAGGCTCGGAAATGGGTCATGTCGGCCACGTCGCCGCTCTTAATATTCGCCATTTCTATGATTTTAGCTATAAAACCGGAGTTGTTTCGAATTTCGTATTGGCAGATATA